CCTCTGCCTCCTCGCCTGCTGCGCCGGCGCCGCCGCTCGCCCGTGCGTGTGGCCTTACTCGGCCAGCGCCTACCCGTTCTGCGACGCGTCGCTCTCCATCCCGGCCCCCGCGCGCGCGCTCGTCTCGCTGCTCACCCTGGACGAGAAGATCGCGCAGCTGTCCAACACGGCGGGCGGGGTCCCGCGCCTGGGCATCCCGCCCTACCAGTGGTGGTCCGAGTCGCTCCACGGCCTCGCCGACAACGGGCCCGGGGTCAACTTCTCCTCGGGCCCCGTCCGCGCCGCCACCACCTTCCCGCAGGTCATCCTGTCCACCGCCGCCTTCAACCGCTCGCTGTGTCGCGCCGTCGCCGAGGCCGTCGCGACGGAGGCCCTCGGCATGCACAGCGCCGACCAGGCCGGCCTCACGTACTGGGCGCCCAACATCAACATCTTCCGAGACCCAAGGTGGGGCCGCCGACAGGAGACGTCCGGGGAGGACCTTCAATGCTAAGGTGAACACATTCACGTCTCTTCATTTCTCTGAACTTGTATAATCTTGATTAAAGAAGTTCGGTAGATAGCACACCCACCAGCCAATCTTATCTTGGCTCATGCATATAGAGAAACACTCACATGTTCTGCTCCAGGGCGCGTTAAGATGTTCGTGGTAAACTGAACTGTTTTTTTTTCTTTTCAAAATCTCTCTCTTCATATACTCTGCTGCTTAGAAATATATATGCTCAGTTCCAAGGTCGAAGTACCATATTTCTTTGCAAGTCGGGATTGTAATCCACTGCTGGCAGGTAAATGCACAAGATTTGGAAGACACGTACCAGCCGCCTTTCAAGACCTGCATCCAGGAGGCTCGTGCTAGCTGCTTGATGTGTGCATATAACCAGGTCAATGGTGTGCCTATGTGTGCTCACAAAGATCTTCTGCAGAAGACCAGGGATGAATGGGGCTTCCAGGGGTATGCTACTTGTTCTTCCTCTGAATTTGCCTCTGTTGAGACCTGGACCACAGAATATTTCAGGAACGACAAGGAATTTCATTATATGAACCACCAAATCCAGCATTTCCATTTTTTTTTACCGTGTTCATTTGATTCTCTCAAGGTATATTACATCTGATTGTGATGCTGTGGCAATTATTCATGAAAACCAGACATACACTAAATCAGGCGAAGATTCAATAGCAATTGTTCTTAAGGCAGGTTAGTATCCTCAAGCCTTCTCTCTTACTGAGAAACACGTGATTTGTTTCTCTTTGTAGATTAGAAGTGGCTTCTCAGTCAAATCTAGCATTTTTTTAGGGCATTCAAATCTAGCGTCTCAAAAGTAGATACTATGAGTATGTAGGAAAAATGGTAGTCAAGTCCAACCGATGTAAGCCTTGTTTTGGACTTTGGTAACCCCCAATACTGCAAAGATATTTACATACTTGTTCCGCTTTGAGGCTTCTCCTTTCTGTTTCCAGTGATTCCTTGAGAACCTTGCTGTTCGGAGGTTTCGATGTCTTGTCAAACTAAATTTCTTAGAACGTCATCTGCCATTTTTTTGAAGGAATGGATATCAACTGTGGTTCTTTCCTAGTTCGGCATACTAAGTCAGCAGTTGAGAAGGGAAAAGTTCAAGAACAAGATATCGACTGTGCCCTTTTTAATCTATTCTCTGTTCAATTGCGTCTTGGAATATTTGATAAGCCCAACAACGAATGGTTCACTCAACTAGGACCCAATAATGTGTGCACGAAAGAGCATACAGAGCTTGCAGCAGAAGCTGTAAGGCAGGGTGCTGTCCTTTTGAAGAATGACCATAGTTTTTTGCCTCTGAAGAGAAGCGAAGTTAGACATGTTGCCATCATTGGGCCATCTGCAAATGACGCGTATGCGATGGGTGGAGACTACAGGTTTCACACCACTGCCTCAAATGAACATTTGCTTAACTTACTATTTTGCATGCATTTTAACATTATATTCACTTTATTCAGGTGCACCCTGGAATCCTACGACCTTCCTCAAGAGCATTCAAGCCTATGCTACACAAACAACCTTTGCTGCTGGATGCAAGGATGTGTCGTGCAACTCAACAGATTTGTTTGGCGAAGCTATTGAAGCAGCTAAAAGAGCCGATATTGTTGTTGTAGTTGCTGGCTTGAACCTGACAGAAGAGCGTGAAGACTTCGATAGAGTGAGCCTTCTACTTCCAGGCAAGCAGATGAGCCTAATACATGCCATTGCTAGTGTAGCGAAGAAGCCCCTTGTGTTGGTTCTCTTGGGTGGTGGTCCTGTTGATGTTTCATTTGCAAAGCAAGATCCACGAATTGCAAGCATTCTTTGGCTCGGATATCCTGGCGAGGTTGGTGGACAAGTCCTTCCAGAAATTCTTTTTGGAGAGTACAACCCAGGTGAGTGAATAACCTCTTAAAATATGACTATTGCAATGAAAAATTTGTGGTGGCCGCTGGACTAATTTAGGCTCCGTTCGGTTAGAGCAAATCCGGCCTTGGAAACATTCCGGCCGTCGAAGGCGTATATAAATTTTAGTAACGAATCCGGCCGGGAATGGTTCCTGGGGTTCGTTCCCCAGGAAGCGAACGGGGCCTTAGTGGGTGCTGTAATAACAGGAGGAAAGCTGCCTATAACTTGGTATCCCGAATCCTTTACTGCTATTCCGATGACTGATATGAACATGAGACCTGACCCTTCACGTGGTTACCCTGGGAGAACATATAATTTTTACACTGGAGATGTAGTGTATGGTTTTGGATATGGTTTAAGTTACTCCAAATATTCATATAGCATCTTGTCGGCTCCAAAGAAGATCACCGTGTCACGTTCATCAGTTTTGGACATTATTAGTAGAAAGCCTGCATACATAAGGAGGGATGGACTAGACTTCGTGAAAACTGAAGATATTGCGTCATGTGAAGCTCTAACTTTCTCTATTCACGTTGCTGTTTCGAATCATGGTAGCATGGATGGGAGTCATGCTGTTCTTCTGTTTGCGAGATCGAAATCAAGCGTTCCGGGCTTTCCTATAAAACAGCTGGTTGGCTTTGAGCGTGTCCACACGGCGGCTGGCAATCCTGAAGGCAAAAGGGTACTGTTATTGGGCGCCCATGTTCTAACAGTGGGTGATGAAGAGTTCGAATTATTCATTGAACTCTGACAGGGATGTAGAAGCCTTACCATTTATGGAGTTCAAATTTGGAATAATCTGATGAATGAAACTTGTAAAGAACACGTTGTAAAGACTCATCATTGAGCTGGATGCAAGTACAGTAAACATGCTGTAAAGATTCATCATTGAGTTGGATGCTAGTACAATTGCAGCCATTGCAGATGCCCTGTTCGTTTGGTTGATAAGCCATGGCTGAAAGTACCGTTAGTTAATTTGTTGTGAGAGAAAAATATTGTTCGTTGACTGAAAAAGTACGGCTTATAAGCCAAGCGAACATGGCGTCAACTGCCAGAAATACATTCAGCACACTACTCTGAATCGTAATAACATTATTTGCTGCTAGGTTTTTAAGTACCAGTAGATGTGCTGATGTGCACGGCGACGGGGTTTTTGGCACTACTAGGCTAGCAGTGCAGATGTTCGAAATACACACAAATAAAACGTTCTAGTCTTGAGTTTGTGAGTGCGAATGCTATCTGACTTGTTCTGAACGCTGAAAACCTCAGCCAAGCTTGGGAAGGTTGAGGTGCTGGCATCCTCTTCGCGCGGCGCGCCTCAACTGGTTGTTGTGCGGCCTGTGCCTGGCCTAACGGGACGGCTGCAGGTGCAAGGAGTACACGATTTCAGTTTCGTTGTTCCGAACCCGAAAACGAGCCATTGCAGGCGTTTTGTCGTGCCATACTTGTTTAGCAAAATCCGAGCAACGGGCTCATCGTCAAGTTGCCATCAGCGTGGCCCCCACCTCCCAGTCGATGCGCGAGGGCGAGGTCAAGGTGACACCGCCGCGCCGCACCACAGGGGAACTGGCTGGATCGGAACTACGGGAGCTGGGATTTAGGCCGTGCCGTCTGAGGGCGGGTCATGGTCGGTCTTTTGGCACGACCCGAGGGCACGGTATGAAATATTTTGGGTCGTGTCGACATGACATGCACACGAGGGCCGTGTCATGTTCAGGATCTCAGCACGGCGGGCTACATGGTTCGGCTCGGCGGGCTACATGGTTCGGCTCGTATTTTGGACTGTGTTTGGGCCGGCACGGCACGAAAATGATACGTAGATACTTCTACAATTATACAATGCAATTTTTTAACATTTACTATACTCACCGCGTTCGGCTGATACACTCACAGCTTGTTCCAGCTTGTTTCAGCTTATTCTCTCACATAATACTATTCAATCATCCAAAACCATCCAAAAATCACTATTGAAGGCACCAGCCGAACACAACCACTATCTCTTATCTAATCCTTGAATAGATTATAAAAATGATTAAAACTTTTATTAAAATAGTACACACAATATATATTTTATATCACTAGCGAAAAAAGAAAACTAGCAGATACATTATGAGGGCCATGCTCGGGTCGTGCCGGCATGCCACAAGCCGTGCTTGGGCCGAAGAAAAGATTTACCGTGCCATGGCCCCATTCGCTTCACTGAAAAAACAAGCTAAAACACTGTTCCAGCTAATTTGTTAGGAGAGAAAATACTGTTTCGACTAAAAAGACAAGCAAAAAAAAATACAAATTATAACCCAAGCACACAGGACCATGCATATCGACACGGCCCGACGTCTAGGCCCGACCCGAAGTGGCACGAAGCAGGGTCGTGCCGTGCCGTCCCGGCCCGGCCCCAAGTCCCACCTCTCGGAACTACTAGCCGGCTAGCCCACATGCTTTTCTTTCCCTCCCGTTCCCCGCCTGTCTCCCGTTCGTCGCATCGCACTCGCCGCTCGACCGCTCGCACTCGCACGGCCGCACCCGCACCGCAACAAAAACGTGCCCCCGCCTTCCGTTGCCTTCTCGAACTCTCCCCCCGTCCCCGTCGCGGATCGCCATGGCCGCCGGCCTCGCCTTCCCCGTCCCCGTCGCCTCCTCTCCACTCGCCTGCGCCTCCTCACCTGCCCACCCCGCGCACCGCATCTGCTGCGCGATCCCGTCCACCGTCAAATCCTCGCCGCTCCGCGCGACTACCGGCCTCTCCGGGAACAGACGGGGCACGGGCCGTGGCGCGTCCGTAGTGTGCGCCGTCCAAGGCCAGGACGCGACCATCCAAGGTACCCGAGTGGCGTGTGTATGAGGATTATTACTCCGTACGTAGAATTGTAGAAATGATACACAGATTTGGTTGTTTGGAATGCGATTACATGTTTGGTTCTAGGAATCGGCAAGTATGATAGGATGATGCTGTGTGCCTGTGTCGTTTAGGTTGCGTGGTCTCCTCTACGTATAGGCAACTATTCGGAGTAATTAGCAGGAATTAGCTAGGGGATCAAAGGTTACCACACCAAGGGCACAGCATTCTGGATAGCAACTCCACGCAAGCAGCTGTTGACGTCTGTGCTTTTAGGTTTTTGTGAATGTCTACCTTTTCATGCATGCACCATCACGTATTCTTGTAGTGTGTTCCTGTGATAGAGACAGCATATCTACTTGAGGCTTTAACCTGTGCGCCATTAAAAAAAAAATTTACACACGAGCCATTAAAAAAGTTGACCGCACACGAGTGCCATCGTTCTGAATTTCTTTGCTCTCCAAGCCATTTCGTCGGTATTCTGTTTGTTTTCCACCGTTTGGCAACCCTTACATGTGGGCCTGGTCAGTGTAAATGTCCAAAATACCTTTCTATCGTCATATCCTCTTGCTTCTTTAGTCCACACGGCTCGCGCTCGCGTCCGAGGCCGGCGGAGCTCGCACCCGCGCCCTGCAGAGCTCATGCTCGCGCTCGCGTCCGCGCCCGGCGGAGCTTGTGCTTGCGCTTGCGGCCAGCAGAGCCCCGCTCGGCGGAGCTCATGCTCGAGCTCGCGGCCGCCATCCCCTCCGTCAGCAGCGGCGGCGGCCACGCCCGGCCTCGTGCTCGCGCTCGCGGCCGCCTATCCCCTCCGGCAGCGGCAGCGGCATCCACGCCAGGCCTCGCGCTCACGCTCGCGGCCGCCATCCCCTCCGGCAGCGGCGGCCTCGTCCACGTCCAGCTTCCCCTCGCGCTTGCGGCCGGCAGAGCCCCGCTCGGCAGAGCTCGCGCCCGCGCTCGCGTCCGCGGCCGGCGGAGCTTGCGCTCGAGCTCGCGGCCGCCATCCCCTCCGTCAGCGGCGGCGGCGTCCACGCCCGGCTTCGCGCTCGCGCTCGCGACCGCCTACCCCCTCCGGCAGCGGCAGCGTCGTCCACGCCCGGCCTCGCGCTCGCGGCCGCCTATCCCCTCCGGCAGCGGCAGCGGCAGCGTCATCCACGCCTAGCCTCGCGCTCGCGCTCACGGCCGCCATCCCCTCCGGCAGCGGCGGCCTCGTCCACGCTCGGCTTCCCCTCGTGCTTGCGGCCGGCAGAGCCCCGCTCGGCAGAGCTTGCGCCCGCGCTTGCGTCCGCGGCCACCATCCCCTCTGTCAGAGGCGTCGTCCACGCCCGGCCTTGCGCTCGCGGCCGCCTATCCCCTCCGGCAGCGGCAGCCTCGTCCACGCCCGGCTTCCCCTCGCGCTCGCGGCCGCCATCCCCTCGCGCTCGCGGCTGCCATCACCTCCGGCAGCGGATAGGACGAGAGAAGGGTATTTTTGACGTTTACACTGACCGGGCCCACATGTAATGGTTGCCAAACGGTGAAAAACAAACAGAACACCGACGGAATGGCTTAGAGAGCAAAGAAGTTCAGAACGATGGCACTCGTGTGCGGTCAACTTTTTTAATGGCTTATGTGTAATTATGAACTTTTTTAATGGCACACAGGTAAAAGCCTCTATCTACTTGCGTTTGCTTCGATCGCAGATTTGCAATTGTGTTCCCCTGGTAAGATAAAGCACATGTGTATTTACTATTTAGTACCTATGTTGTGTTGGAGGCAGGAACACAGATATGTCGCTGGACTCTTTAACTCTTTATTGCTGGGAAAGCAAAGTCCAAAACACCATCCCGTTTTGGTGCATGCAATTTTCCCTCTGTAATAAGCCTACTGTTGAAAATCAGGTGGGGAAGTCTCCTTCACCTCTGCAGCAAACAAAGCACCTTTTGGTGTATCCAGGGATTCATGCATGTGCATGGGTGACTTGCTTTATCAGTTGTTTGGTTAATCCCCTCCCCAAGAGGATTGGAGGGGATGAGGGGTTTTTGACTTGTAAAGGATTTAATCCCCCCAATCCTTTTCAATCCCCACCAAAACCGAACAAGCTCTTATGGTTTGTATCACAATTACTAATATTGTCGAGTAGGGACGCTATAATCAAATATGGAAGCATACAACTTTGGAGTCCTAAATGTTCGGTATTAGTTAAATACTTAAATGTATAGATTCATGTATGATCCACGTGGGTCATGTACCCCTTTTTATTTTGTCAATTTGTTATGGCACTGTGTACCACCCTTTGGTTTGATGAGGATGTATCACATTGTTAATCCATGGGATAATTGAATGCCTTTCCTATCAGTCCCTTTAGTGTGGTTGCTTTATCCACAATTATTGGTTTAACATAAAAGTTGTTTGCTAAAGTGAAATTTGCAAAGACTAAAACCAGCAATGCTTATTTCATAGCCATGATTGAATAATAGCTTTGGAGAGTGCTTCTGGTTTTTTAATAACTATGACAGTTGCAACACACTTTTTGCACAAAGCAAGGCATATTTGAACTGTTCAAATACATCTTATTGGGATCGACATATCATGTTGGGTTCAATTGTAGATTTGTAAGGCTGTGTTTAGTTCGCGAAATTTGAGAATTTTGGCTACTGTAGCACTTTCGTTTTTATTTAGCAATTATTGTTCAATCATGGACTAATTAGGCTCAAAACGTTCATCTCGCGATTTCCAACCAAACTGTGCAATTAGTTTTTTTTCGTCTACATTTAATACTCCATGCACGTATGGCAAGATTCGATGTGATGGCTACTGTAGCACTTTTTGAAAAAGTTTTTGAGAAACTAAACACAGCCTAATTGTGTTTCCTTGGGAAGGTCAAGCACATGGGTATCTACTATCTAGTACCTGTGTTGTGTTGGAGACAACAACCTTTATGTTGTTGGACTCTTTATTGCTGGGAAAGCATTAAAATACCATCCAGTTCTCCTATGGTGCATCCAGAGATCCATGCATGCGCATGGGTGACTTGCTTTATTATGGTATTATAGTTTAATGTTACAATTACTAATGTTGCTGACCACCCATTTCTTTTTGTGGAAAGGCGCTATAATCCAAATATGGAATCATACAACTGTCAAACTTGGGCTACTATAAGCCCTAAATTGTTCGGTAGTAGTTAAATGAATAGGTTTATGTATGTATTCGCGGGGGTCATGTACCCTTGTTATCTTGCCAATTTTGTTATTGCCTTCTTCGCTTATGGTGGCGTGTGAAACACAACTCCTTTTGATTTGATGAGAATGTATGCCATGTATCACATTATTAATCACTGCGAAGATCGAATGCATTTCCTATCAGTCCCTTTACTCTTGTTGTTTTACCCATGGTTCTATTGAGGTTTAACATAAAAGTTGTTGAGAGAATTAGAATTTGAGAGATTAAAGCCAGCAATGCTTACTGCTTAGCCATGATTGAATAGTATCTCGGGAAGTTGTTTTTTGTTTCGTTTTAATAACTATGACAAAGTTGCGACATGCTTTTTGTACAAAGCGAGGCATATTCTAACTGTTTAGATGCATCATACTGGGACAAGCATATCCTGTCGTGCTCCCATTTGGGCAATTGGTGTTTGTAGATTGTCCTTACTTTGAGCACCTTCATTTATACATCCATCTCCTTATGTTCCAATGTTTGGTTTACCATGTTTGTCAAATCATTAATTCGAATCAATGTGGTTCATGTACACTATTTTCTTTTTAGAACCTAATTTCCTTACTTCAGTTTTTCTTTGCAAAAACAACACTTCTTTGTGCTTTTGCATAGCATTTGAAGTAATGTTGGTTAAGAATGAAAAAAACTTGCCATACCTAAATCATCATATTGCTCTGCCTAGGACTGTAGTTGCACCGGTATAAACTATAAAGTGGCCCCTTAAACTGTACCACTAGCAGTAGTATTTCAAAAAACAAATTCTAAATGAGAAAATTACCTCTCCTACAAGCTGCATGCTGTTGCCATTTTATTTCAATTGCTCATGAAACTCTTTTATCTTTGTTGTTATATCTTGACATTTCTTCCTTTGTTGTTGGTACTATACATATGGATCATTTGACGTTTTCTCATTTTCAACTGATCAATTGTAGTCCCAGATGTGACAAAGTCAACATGGCAATCGCTTGTGATTGAGAGCGAGCTTCCTGTCCTTGTTGAGTTCTGGGCTTCATGGTGCGGGCCATGCAAAATGATAGATCCAGTTGTTGGCAAGCTCTCAAAGGACTATGAGGGGAAGCTGAAATGCTACAAGCTCAACACAGATGAGAACCTGGACACAGCAAGCCAGTACGGGGTCCGGAGCATCCCCACCCTGATGATATTCAAGAATGGCGAGAAAAAGGATTCGGTTATTGGGGCTGTGCCTGAGAGCACACTGGTCACATGCATCGAGAAATTTGTTGAGAGGTAAAATTTGTTGGAGAGGTAAAATGCGCAGTGGATCTCGAGCACAGTTTCCTTTCAATCGAAAGGTTATGTAGAGACCACTTGAGCCATACGGAGAACAGTTCTATAATACCTGCCTGTAGATAATGGGATTATTATTATTATTATTATAATATATATATATATATATATATATATATATATATATATATTCGGTTATTGTTTGAGGAAAGCGGCATGAATTGGTGTCCACCCCAGCCTGGTTTTATTTTCTTAATTCTTTACAGGCTCTGAAATGTGTAACGTGGATGGCCGAGAACCTCGTTCTATTCTCATTAATATAACAAATATGAGAAATGCTACCGCGCACTCGGTTGTTTTGACCGGTTTCAGCACCCGATTTTTTCGGAATTTTTACATATTTACCATCATTACGATGTGAGTGGTATAAGAAATACCATGTCAGTGACTCATGTGTCAGTAACACAGTGTAAGATGTCATCCGTAATAGTGGTAAATATGTAAATGCCCCGATTTTTTTCCAGGCCGCGGCTCTGTCTTCGCTTGACGCCTTTCCGCGCTTCGCCCGTGACCGCGAGTGCTCCTCCACCCGTCGCGTTCTCCCGGCCAGTCCCCGTGCCAATGCTCCCTCCCTCGGTCCAAGCGCTCGCCCCCGCGCCGTGTCGTCATCCCCTCCCGGCCCCGCGCCCGTGTGAGCTCGCCGGCCATGGCGGATCCGGCCACGTCCATGGTAGATCCGGCCACGAACATGGCAGATCTGGCGCCGGCCATGGCGGATCTGTCAAGGTAGGTCTTCTCATCCTCCTCTTCCGCCTCCTCTTCCTGGATCTGTGCCAACCAGAGACAAAGACGATGGCGGCGGTGGCTAGGGTTCTGGCGAGCCTCTTCCCTAAATTTTGTCCTTGTCCTTTTATAGAAAAAAAATTATTTCTTGTTTCTCGTGATTTGTGATTTGTGCCGACACAGCCATGCTCTTTGGTACTTGTGATTTGTGCCGACATAGCCACGGCCAAGGGCGGGGCGATGGACGGTGGCGACGGTGGCGGGGCCAAGGTCTGGAGGTAGAAGAAGGCTGGAGGCCGAAGGAAGAAAAAGGCTAAAGGCCGTTGAATCTTTATCTTATGGTTAAAAAAATTCATACGTTGAAACTGCATAAAACATACAGTTGTAGAGTCTACTGACTCGTGACATCATTCCTTATGGGCACTTTCAATATATGCTTGAGATATATATACATCTTTTTTTCGGAGATTCATCTGATTAGTATCTATCATCCGTGGACCGAACTCAGGATTGTGTTGCATTCTGGCTACATGTGATCTACGGCTGCACCTAAGAATTGGGCCTCTTGTTAGTACAACAGAATTTCTTGGTTACGGACAAAGCTTTAAATCCCACAGTAAATCCCTTGGGGCATGTCAATTGTCACTTGTCAAGATCTGAGACCCTAGCTTTGGCGAACGTGTAATCCACGGGCTGACGCTACAAACAATGGGCGGCCTTATGTTTGCATCTGCGATGTCGTTAGCTTCGATGAAAAGCTAGGTTAAAAATACTGCTAGCTGATTTTTTTTGAGAGAAAATTACTATATCATGATTGATAAGATATCCTGATAAGTTTAAGAGTTGCTATATAGTTTCTATACTTTTTTCTGAAAAAAAATGAAGTGAGTATATCGTTTCTTTTGAAATTAAAGTATGCGATCTCGGTTTGAGATAATGGACCGGATACACGATGCAAAAGGTGAGCAGAGGCTGCAGTGGCCCACTGGGAAACACTATAGCACAAGTGCACACTACCGGAAGGCTAGGGGCGTCTTTGTCACCATAGCCAATGGCTAGTGCAATCTGTCTGCGGCGTGGTTTTCCCTTTCCCGTCCGATTTTCCAGTTTTAGAAAGCTATATAATGATTATTAAAAATCATTAAAAACGATAAAATATAGCTATTTATTTATTGTATTCGCTTGATTGGATTCAATGCTAGCCTATTGTTTGTTCGCTTGGTTTATAAGTCGTATTTTTTCAGCTAACTAACAGTATTTTTTTTTGATAACAAATCAGTCAACCTTAGCTATGACTTGTGAGCTAAACGAACAGGCACTGATGTACGGTCCCATCGCCTTAGCTGTATTGTGATTGCCCGAACCCGACTGGTACGTACTCGTACTGGTAGCGCCATCCAACCTGCAACAGTGTCCCCACATAAATGCACGCAACTGTGGAGCGATTAAACAGGAGCCCTCCCTCCGCGCCCGCTGCCGGCGGGTGCTAAACGTGCGTCGGCGCCAGGATCAGGGCAAAGCCGGCAGGGCGATTTCGATCACATGACCGAACTCCCAGCCTTTCTTCCACCGTTGCCTTCCCTGGCCCCCATATCTTATCACGCCACGAACGCACGAACGGATGAGACCGCCACAGGCGCAACCACGCCACCAACGGTTATCTCTATCCGCGACGGCGACGAAGGACGCACGCGGCAGGCACCGTACCTCGCCGCGCTTAAACTAGACGTGGTGGCGGGCACGGCAGATTATCTGTGTGAAAAAACTGCGGTGAACTGTGAGCTGTGAGAAAGCTGTGTGGGCTGTGAGCTGTAGAAAAGCTAAAAGCTGTTTGGTTAAACAAATATAAAATATACATTTTATTTTTATCTCTCTTGAAACAACTATGGAAAAACTTTTTATTCCACCAATTTCGAAAAGCAAATAGCCAAAAGTTCAAAATAGGGTCAAACTAGCTTTCGAAAATGTACTACAAAAAACAGCTGCTTCTGGAAAAAAAATCACCTGAAAAAATAGCCCCTTTAATTAGCTTTTTGACTTTTTGACCAGAAGCCAAAGCCAGAAGCCAACCAGATGGACCCTAAAACAAGACAAGGAGCGAGCCCGTGACCCGCGAGGCAACCACCGCGCTGTGCTCTGGTGGTCCGCGCGGGGAGCCGGTGGCCGTCTGACGCTCTGACTGAAGGCCACGCGAATCTGCCGCGGGTGTGACTTCGCATAGGTGGCCGTTTGACCATTCGAGCAACGGTTGCTTCGAACGATGGCGTGCTTGTGTCGCCGGCCACGCAAGACGCGGAACGGATCGGCGGTCCGCTGCCAAAGGCGCGCGCACATGCGGTTTCGCGGATCCGAGCAGGGAACGCGGGCGCCCCGGCACGGCACGGAGGCGCGCGGCCACTGGCAATGCGCCAATGCCATCGGCCATCCTGACCCCTAGTTTTCACTAGGCGGTTCTGCTTGGGTTTTCCCGTCGTCCGTGTGGTGCCAGTGGGCAGTGGCACACTGGTTTGTGGAAGACGGTGCCTGACTGGTCAGGGGACTCTTCGCCACTGACCGCGACAGCTCACTTGTGATCCTGTGGATCTGGCCGCCGTATTTAGTACGTGCCCGTATTCTATTTCTCCCAACGTTTCCAGCGTCAAATCTTGTGGGCGTAAGTTTTGACAAATGACAACGTGTTTAGTTCACCCCCAATATCTAAAAAGTTCTTACAGACTCGCATCGCATCGAATGTTTCATATCCCACGCATTGAAGTTTTGACAACAAATGACAATGCGGGGAGCCACACACCAGTCGTGCGAGCCCCACATTTTTGTTACCTGATCTGATGATGCGGCGAACGGATTGCTCGTCTGCTTGTGCCCGTGGCAGTCGCAGCCATACCCTCAGTCACTGAAATGGTAATAATATATAACGAGGCAAGAAAAAAAAAAAGGCAAGAAGATAACAAAAGGAGTCATGATTGCATGTACAGGGAATGATTATATGGCTCCATTAGTGGCAAGCAAATTCTGCAAAAAATACTAGAGTTGTTTGGCTGATAATTTTTGCGGTGGCTGATGACGTTTCGTTGCGAGAGAAAAATATTATACCATAGCTGATAAACTGAGCTGATAAGTTTAAGCGGACAGGACCAGTTCTCTATCAAAAACAAATACAAATATTTATAATGTTAAATACGTGTCATTAGATCAGTCGCGAAGTAGGTTGTTAGAATGATTGATACTATTTACATACTTGAACAAACTATAAATAGTTTGACTTAACCTATACACCTCGTTCGCTTCGCTGAAAAGCCAGGCTGAAAAATACTGTTAGCTGATTTTTTACGAGAGAAAAATAATATACAATGGCTGATAAGATATGCTGATAAGTTCAAGAGTTGCTATATAGTTTCTATACTTTTTCATGGAAAAAAAATGAAGTGGGTATATTGTTTCTTTTGAAATTAAAGTATGCGATCTCGGTTCGAGATAATGGACGGGACACACGTTGCAAAAGGTGAGCAGAGGCAGCAGTGGCCCACTGAGGAACACTTTAGCACAAGTGCACACTACCGGAAGGCTAGGGGCGTCTTTGTTTCGTGTCGCTCAGCGCTCAAAAAGCGGCAATGGTGGTGACTGGTGACTCGGGAGATGGCAAAGTGGGGGAACGCCGGAGCGGATAGGCATTATCTGTTATCTTCGTCCTGTTAGTACGGACAGAGCGGCCATATTCGGTCTCTTCGCTGGTTCGATAAATCGCTTATGTTAGTTTATATGATTAATTTATTATGAAAGAAAAACACTATATCATAATTGATAAGCCCTCTGAAACCTGTGGACGTGCACCACCGACAATGTCGACCATGCTGATGCTTCCTGTTGCCTATTGCTAGTGGTGTATAGGATTGGCTCAATTGGATTTAAGCCTTAATCACCATAGCCAATGGCTAGTACAATCTGTCTGCGGCGTGGTTTTCCCTTTCCCGTTCGATTTTCCAGTTTTAGAAAGCTATATAATAATTATTATATTAAAAATCATTAAAAACGATAAAATATAGCTATTTATTTATTGTATTCGCTTGATTGATATAATATAACTATTATTTTAACAATTAGTTTTAAGAAGCTTTTAAAGACCTTCGTGCAAGCCAAGCGGAGCTGTTTTTTTTTCCCCTCCTCCCCCTGGTTTAGCCGAGCCGAATCCCCAACTCATTATATACCCTCGACGGAGCCTCCCACCGAAATCCGGCGGCCTCTTCTCATCATTGGCCTGCTCTCCTCCCCCTGCCTTATTATCGTCGGCTGCCGTGCCGCCGCGTCCTGCTCCCCGCTCCCGCGTTCGTCGCCAGAAGCACCGCCGCGGCCTCGCGCCACCGCCCAGAAACCATCTCCCCCTTGCCGCGCCGCCGAGCCTCGTTCGACCGAAGCGCGTTGTGTCAAATTTCTGCGACCTAGCCACCGCCTCCGCCGCCGCCGCCGTCGTCATCATCATCCTCGCTGGTGGGGCTGGGCCTGCGTGGAGCGCAGATCCATCCGAGCTCGGATTGATTTCTTCTTCCTTTGCTGGTAAGGAACCCTATTAACTTGGCTTGCACGGCTTGTTCTTTCCTTGTTCGGTAATTGGACGGATTGCTCCATGAGTCGGTTTTGTTTGGTCTTCGCGTTCGTTCATTGTACTTGATAAGCCAAATCTGAACCTCCCTGAGACGGATTCTCCGACCAGTCCATTCTTTTCGTTGTGGTGGATTCGTGTGCAGCCACCAGTTCAGTTTGTATTCCAAAATGTTTCATCGGACCCTTCTTCCTGGCTGGGGTTACAAATTGCATCAATTTGCTTATCTGTTTGAAGCTAGCATTTAATACCTGGCCCTGAAGAAATTTCTCTTGTATAGGTGCGTATGCTTAATACCCATGTGGTTATTTTCTGAAACCTACTAGTAATATAATATAGGCAACCTAATTCACTGGCACGCCTAAATTTAGATCAAATTATTGCGGACACGCGCTTAAAATCCATAGTATGGTAGCTCATACACGTCCATCCTAGCGGCTTGTTTATTTCTGGAGTTTCACAGCTTCTTCTGTTTATCAAGCACAACCTTCACCTTCAGTACCAATTCTTACTGTACATATCTATTAGGCCAGTCATGAACCACAAAACAAAACTAGAACTGTAGGAAAATGATCTCTTTGAGCTTCATTTGTAGGCACCTGATGTAATTAAGATGTGTTTTATAATTAACTTAGAAAAGACTCGCCGAAGCTTTATTTACTTGTATATAAAAATGATGGTGATGGCACATATGGGACCAGAGAGAATTAGAAATTTCCACGAAGCTGGTGGACAAACTATTCATTGTTTCCTGATCAGAGTACAGTAGGTGCAATTATCATTGGGTTATTCTAGTTTTTGTTGATTACTAAATGTTTAAATGATCTTTTCAGTGTGTTTGGTTCCATTGAATATGCCGAGTGCTGTAGCTACTCTACCATTGTTGCAGTCCACATCAGTACCCCCACCTATTGTTGTTTTTCAATGATGCTCCTTTGGAAGAAGCTCCACAACCACAAAAATATCAACATGTCACCGCAAGCATATATTGGAGATTTGGACGAACACCTTTAGCCTATCTCATACTTTCCTTTGTTTATTCATATCTGCTCTTTTGGTCTTCCCCAGCCGTTTGTCTGAATATAAAATCTGTTAGGATCTCTGGTAATCTGTTCATACGTGCCAGCCTTGTCGAAGTCCACGTTTGCAAGCTTTTTAAAACTTGAATAGTTTACTATTTTCTTCCTGAGGTATTTTCTAGCTGGACCTTGAACAAGGGGCCAAGTCGAGTCAATATATTATGCTGCCATGCCAACATTGCAGATAAGCAAGTGTTTTCATTTCCTTAGATCGATAGATTCTTGGATAACTTGACAATGGCACAAAAAGTAGCACGCGGATAACTATAACAAAAGGGATAGAAACAAAGTGCAACAGTTGTAGTCCCCAGTACTAAATTATTGGAGAATCCATGACTGCTGACTCACACTACCAGGTACTAAAATATTGGAGAATCTCGGGCTACTAGGAAAGACGATGGATTCTTGGGTAAAAGCACAACCAGCATAGACTCTCAAGGACATTGGCCTCTTAACACGTTTGGAGATTTACCTAACATTTGCTTCAGTTGTCACACTTGTTCAATGTATTCGGATAGATAGACTCCCCGGGACAGGATGCTGTGGTGTGGGTCTAAAAGCTGCTTATTACATGGACCCCTCTATTTAGTTCAATTGTTATTGTCTGTTGTATGTACACTTAACTCCGCCTCTGCCTCAGAATTCAGCATCTATTAAAAACTAGAAATGTGTTTTTTCCAGTCTTGTACTTCCTTAGTCCTCCCACACGGTTCGGTAGGTGTCCAAATATCATGAACATTTTCAATGCTTGGACTCCATTATCATTTTGTGCAATGAGCTCTGGCGTGTCGTGTTGCTTTATCAATTGTATGTATTCCTACTGACCTTCTTTGGTTTCTCCTTCTATTGCAGTGCTGTCATAACCGAACTAAAACAGTTTCTGAGAGCAAGCATCACGATTGCCATGGAAGCTGGGAGAATGGATCAGCCTTGCATTTTACTAGAGCTGATATTGAACCAGTGAAGAAAGCTAGTGGGGAAAGCTAGTGGGGATATGCCTGCGACAACAGGAAGCGGATGCTTCGACTGTAACATCTGCCTTGATTTTGCAGAAGAACCAGTGGTTACTCTCTGTGGCCATTTGTACTGCTGGCCTTGTATCTATGAGTGGCTGCGGCCTGGGGTGGAGTCAACTGCCAGCGACAACAGCAGTTCGGCAAGGCACCAATGTCCCGTATGCAAGGCAACACTCTCAGCGGACACCCTTGTGCCACTATACGGCCGGGGAGGGAACTCAAAGAAGTCACTGAATGGCATGGCCATCCCGCGCCGCCCCATGGTACACCGTGAGACTGTTGAGCAACATAATGCACAAAGCAACGTCAATGACCAGCACTACCACCAGAGCATGGAAGACAACCCTCAGCACCAGCCATTGCTGAACGCACACCACCATCCCATTCCCAATGGGTTTGACTTCATCTACCCTCCAGCACCAGTAGGTCGTGGCTTGATCCACTCAACTGCTGGTGGGGTGCTTGGAGGGATGGCAGAAGTTGTGCTTCCTTGGGCGCTCCGTGGCCAGCTGCCAGCGAGCTTGTACTACACGAGCCCATATCATGTTGCGACGCAGAACGTGAACCCCAGGCTGAGGCGGCATCAGATGGAGATCGAGAGGTCCCTGCACCAGATCTGGTTCTTCCTCTGTGTGTTTGTGGTGCTGTGCCTGCTCTTGTTCTGAGACGAAGACTGTTCTATATACGTCTTTGTAGATATTGAAAGTGGGAGGGGGATACTAATGGATGATGCGTATAGTAAACAGGGTAATGGTCTGTGTCGACAAGCATGTGCTTAAGCATGCTGATATAGAGTTGTAATATGATGAGACATGGAGGTGAAATGCATACTTCATTCTTCTCGTCTTAACGTCAGCAATTCCCTGGTCACTGTCAGCCTTAAAGTTTAGTCAGCCTGTTAGGTTGCCTACCTGACATATCTTCATGTTAGGTTCACCATCGTCTGCTGTGCATTGGTTGGTGTTACTGCCAAGGGCCTTTTCATTTGTATATAAATCGAAAATGATGTTTTGGCTACCAATGTCTACCCTGTGGCCTCTTTAATTAATCCCTGTTCCTGTCCCAAAATTGACGCTGCAATTTTGTAGCCAGGACGGCAGGTGCGTAAGTGCATTTTCCTTCTGTATGTGATGCATGCATCTGACGGCCTGACGCTGATCGGAGCCAATATAGATTGCTTCTGTATGTGATCCATGCATCTGACGCTGATCGGAGCCAATATAAGATTGCGTCGGAGCCAATATAAGATTGCGTCAAAGCTAACAGGGAAGAGCAAAGGAAATATCGACTTGAATGCTTAACAGCTTAAGGTACTCTGGACGACGACGCTGTGGAGAACTTGAGACTGCTAATGACCTGATCAGTAAGGAATTGATGGCCAGGTTCTGCAGAGAGACGTCGAACCATGTTTGTCCTCTCGACAAGTGCTTGAAAGTGCGTACATGGCCCTAGTACAGTGCCCATCGCTTCTGTAGCTTGCACGCTAGAAATGAAATGACAAATCCCGGCATATTCAGATGAACAGCACATTGAATGCTTGGGAAGTAACAGACTACCTAAAAGGTCAGGACTTTAAATAGACAGACAGCCTTCATAATTTGATCATTTCCCATCAACAAAATACAATGTCTTCGTATACTATTTCAGTTGTTGTACCAGTCAAGAAAAAGAACGGAGAAAGTGAGAACAAAGAAGAAGAGGAGGAGAAAGGTTCTACTGCTGCTGTTGCGCTGGATTGCCTGGGATAGCTCCTTGTTCCCACGCTCCACATTATTTGTAGCTTCAACAGCCTGCGCAGAAGATGTTCTATGAGGACATGATAATAATCAGGTTTCATGTAGTGCATATCCAAATCATGCGTTCTTTCAGTTAGTGTTGGGGGTTGGGGGGGGGGTGACCATGGAGGCAATTATTTCTAGACTGTGTTACAAAGCTCTTTCATGGACATACGCTACGACCTGTATACTTTTCAGGTTGATTCATGATTCTGACAGTCCATAGGTTTATGTTCACATAGGAAAACATAAAAAAGGAGCGTACCCAGTGCAGAGTGCTCCCGCTCTGTGCGGGGTCTGGGGAAGGGTGTTAGTAGCAAGCCTTACCCTCGCCTGTGCAATGCGAGGAGACCACGACGCGAACCCGGGACCTTCCGGTCACAGGCGGTAAGACTCTACCGCTTGCACCAGGCCCGCCCTTCAAAACACAAGTAACATAAAACTAGTAGAATATGATTCAATGAATCCTATACCTGGTCATATAAATACTGAATCTGTTGAGCTTGTTGTAGAACATGTGTCGACATAAGATGATTAAGTGCTGACATTTCTATCATCTTTGTCTCCGTTTCTTGCACAGCATCAAGAAGACTTGTCAACTCCACCTGAGAAAAGTTTTAGGATACACATGATGCATGGTAATTTAAGTAAAATAACCAAGTTTTTCACTAAATAATAGTTCATATACCATCCACATATTACCTGGAGGGCTTTTGTTTCATCATCCAATAGTTGTTCTTGAACTCTCATAGGTGCTGTGGATACTTCCTGATCTACAATCTTTGATACATCAGATTTTAGAATAAGATTGGACTTGGATGGTTCAGCAGGTTTGATTTCTGGTCTCTTCTGAATCTTCTTCCTTGGCATTGCTCTGTTAATAGCATCTTGAAAACGCATGGACCGAAGACGATCAAATTGTGCAGTTACTGAGTGAAGACGCTCACTCAAAATTAAAACCTGGTAAAGTTGAACACAAAACAAACAGCTTATTGGAGCTGGGCACACGAAAATTCCTAAAACTACTGCAAAACAGGGTAGTTCAGACTTCAGAACTGATGATTGACTGCCACAAAGATTTGGATATAGAGGAAAAACAACAACAAAGAAAAATAGAGGTAGGTGTTCGCCTGTACATGCTCTTACCTGATGCATTCGTGAACAAGAAAATGAAAGTAGATATTATTCAAGTTCACCTGTTTCGACTGGGCAATCTGTCCTCTAAAGTCACACAGCATAATTTTTTATCCTACCAAATGAAATCAACCAATCGAAGTCTGATATCCTACTACCAACTAGTGAAATATACACCCAACTCAAAAATTTGGAAAGGAAATGTTGAAAACAATCAATCCTCAACAGGACGACCTGTTCGATTGGCTCTAATAAAAGGAAATCTTGGATCATAATACATGTAGCACTGTAACAGGTACTTAAGGAATTACTTTGCCTCATCCTTTAAATGGAATGCATTCAGGTCAGTTCGACTGCTAACTAGCTCAAAAAACAAATTAATCCAGCAGAATTTTTTTTAACTATAACAGCAATAGCAAGGAGAATAACCATACCACACCATGCTGATGAGCTATCAAGTCCAACCGGGAATTCTCATCCCTAGTGCCAAGCCATGTCTTTCCACTTCCATTCTTCTCTTCTTCATGGATCCTGTTCTTCAGGATATCAATCTGTTCCTTGCATGCTTTTACAAAAACACCAATCTAATATGCATTGAGTAGTTACAAATAAGTACTAAACTGAGAATAGAAAGCAGGTTATATGAATCAATGTGCAGCGTGCCAGTATGAATATAGGTTGTCAACTAAATAGTCTATACAAGAGGAACACCACATCAATATATCGAAACATAGATTAATAGTATGAACAGAGAGAAGCACAACCTACATTAACTGAATGTCTGAGCATCAAGGACACATGATCGTGCATATATATATAGGCTCTTCAACAAATTTTTTTAGGGCTTTAGGGCTACAGTCTTCTATAATTGTAATCCAAGACTAGATCTGTACAGTTGTGGGAAAAAAACTTGACAGCCAAGTATATATTTTACAAAAAGGTACATGGCATTGCCCTGTTCGCTTGGCTAATAAGCCATGGCTGAAAGTACTGCTGGCTGATTTGTTGTGGGAGAAAAATATTGTTCGTTGGCTGAAAAAGTACGGCTTATAAGCCAAGCGAACAGGGCGATGGTACAACAATAGGTATCTTTTGTGCCATTGAGCTTCAGCCTTCAGGCATAAAAGCTTCCATTGAAGCTTTCAAACATTGAAGGCTTCAAGCATATTAGAATGCTAGAGAACTGTAATGCAATGCCAAACAGGCAAACAACACACTAGACAATTCTTTTATGACCATTAAGCACATAGGTTGAGTAACACACACATTTAAGATTTTATGCATGCATCATCACGCGATAGCAAATCAAAACAAACAACAACAAAATATGCAACTTACTTCATGCTCAATGTTGTCCCTCTCTTGCTCGGTAGTGCGATGCAGGTCCACATAATCCCTCCTGTGCTTCACTATGAACCTCTCGAGTTCCCTGATGCTCTGAAGCTACACATCAACAAAACCCATCAAACAATTACATTGGCAACCTGTCTCACCACATGAAAACAGTAACACAATCCATCACAGGCTCCTACCGTCTTGATCGCGGCACTAGTGAACGCCGACTTGGGCGAAGGCTTCCGGATGATGAAAGACGACATGAGCGCGGCCAGTTGGGCCTTCATAGCATACACAAGCCAACACAATTAGTCTATGAGCATGAAGAATTGAGGACCATTCGTGCTTCATCACTACGCTGAGGAAGGGGTGCGGATGGAGAGGCTGTGGACGCAACTCACCTCCGTGTATCCATGGGAGAGCGCGGCGACTCGGACGGCCTCTTTAAAGTCCTCCGTCCTGTCCCGAACCCTCGACATCGCCGAGGGTGCAGCAGCAGCAGCCTAGTAGCAGCCGCGGCCTCTTCCGGTCAGATCCACGAATGCTCTTGAGCCGGCGAGATGCGCAGGTCGTGCAATTATGGGACGCAAGCGCAGGGGATCGGCTGGAAGAGCCGACTGCTGCACTTCGGGTCGACAAACGGCCGGTGACCGGCGATCCAGCTCGTCGGATCGGGCGGCGAGGTAGGAGCGAGGAGACGGGTCGTCAAGATGGGAGACGTGTTCGCTGTACCGAGGCATCGCGGCCGATGACCAGTGGGGCCCACACCTTAACATAGTAGACCCACATGTCGGTGGAGTTTCGTCGGTTCGTCCAATCACCGTCCAGTGAGTCCCAGGCGGACACCAGTTGCGGCACCGTCGCGAGCCGATCTGTGTTTCTCACTTGCCATCTCGCCTCCGCGCCGCGAAACCCTAGGTTCGCGACGCCATGGCGGCCTCTGGGTCGCCCCGTCATGGTCGAGGCGCCGAGGAGGACGAGGCGGCGCGCAGCGGCAGCAAGTCGCTAGACGCCGAATGTAACGACCGCTCAAAGGGGAGCCGGGACCGCGGCAAGTCGAAGCGGCGGGAGGAGAAGAGCGAGAGCTCCGGAGAGGACTCCGGCGAGCGACGGAAACGGCGTAGAAAGGAGAAAGAGCGCCGGCGCCGTCGCCGCAGCCGTAGCGAGAGCTCGGGCTCGTCGTCAGAGTCGGAGTCCGAGTCGTCGTACTCGGGGTCGAGCGTGGAGTCTGAGAGCGAGTCGGAGTTGGATTCGGAGGAGGAGAGGCGGAGGCGGCGGCACAAGAGGAGGAAGGAGAGGGAGGAGGAGGAGAGGAGGCGGAGGAAGAAGGAGAAGGAGAGGAGGAAGAGGAAGGAGAAGGAAAAGGAGAAGGAGAGGAGGAGGAAGGAGAAGAGTTTGGGGAAGAAGGGCGCCGTGACCAACTCGTGGGGGAAATATGGCATCATCCGTGAGGTCGATATGTGGTGAGTAGCTTCATTCCTAGTTTCAGGGTTTGGCATAAGACATGAATTGCTTGAGTTTTTCAGTTGTTATTTGTTATTTTTGTGCAACGAGATATAATTCAATCTGAAATGCGGAAATGACATCTCCAATTCCTGTAGCTTACTGAAAGCAAAGATGAAATATAATTCTATCGGAAATCTTAGATTGGATTGGAATGCATGAAACAGTAGCCTTATCACTGGAATGATAGTCTGGTAAGAGCTTATATTGCTCCTATTCTACTAGCTTCGAAGCAAAGTCTGCAAGCTCACCTTTTAAAGTTCATATTATGATGCACTTAGAAAATTATAGTTATGTTTCACCATCCAGTTCACTTAGCAATACTATACTAATACTGAGGGCATGTTATATGGGACTTTGCTAGCTTAACCCAACGTTCCAGCCAGCATCATGTAGTATCTTTCACTAAATGAGATGAGTTTGGACTCTAAATAATTAATCATATGAAGTACTAATGTTATTTGTACTACATTTCTTTGAATTAACTGTGCAATGTGTTTTGTAGGAGCAAACGACCAGAGTTCACTGCATGGCTATCAGAAGTCAAGCAGGTATATTTCTTTCTGTTATTCTGTACGTGTTGAATTGTTGATACATAGTAAGGGAGGCAGAGGTCTATGTAGATCCACGGCGTTGTTCAATTTAGTTTTTTGTTAATGTGAACCCAGGTTAATTTGGAGGCATTGTCAAATTGGGAAGAGAAGCAAATGTTCAAGGAGTAAGTTACTCTACTGTCATGAAATCGCTTCAATAATTACAGACCTTGTGGTGAACTGAGAAAAGAAATAGCTACTGTATCATTGATGTTCCAAGGTGTCTAACATATGGTGTCTGTATCTCAGATTCATGGAGGATCACAATACAGCCACTTTCCCGTCAAAAAAGTAATGGCTCTCGTCTTTTGGGTATAATAACTTTTATTAGATGACAGTTCAGGAAAAGGATTTATGGTTTCTCTCCTTATGTTCTCTTTCAGATATTATAATTTAGATGCTTATCATCGCAAAGCAATGGAGAAAGAGAAAAAGAAGGGTTTAAAGACGTCTGTGACAGAACGTACAGTATTTAATGATGAGGAACAGCGAAGGTACATAAAAATGAAATTGTTCTGAAAAAAGCATTTGTTGGTTTCCACAATACTGTCCATATACTTTTCTTAAAACATGGGACATTAATAAAGTTGTTAGTGTCTTTTCTAGAGCTATCAGTTTATGGTTTGTGGGTTATTATCTTTACACTAACCTTTTGCATGTTCTATGAAGGGAATATTATGAAACTCGTGTATTTTAATTGGGTTTGGAGTTTTCTGTGTGGAGTAGTTCCTTTTTACATTTTTTATTTGAAAAAATCATGCAGATTAGAATTGTTGAAGGAGCGGGAACGACGAAAAGAGGAAGAAGTGGAAGCTTTAAAACGCTCTATGCAAGCTGGACTGGTTAGATTATTTTTGGTTTCTTTTGGCAGTTCTGATTTATCTTCTAGTCATCATATAAATTCTAGAATGCTCATGGATTATGTTGTCTACCCTTGCTGAAAGTTTTTTTTCTTCTATTAGTAGTTTTAAGATTGTGGCCCAGTATTAAGTGGATATAGCCTATATATAGTTTTTCTAGTGCCATGCATAAATTTGGCCAAAGAGCATAGCTATTCATCGTGGGAAGCAGTATGCAATGGACATAGAATGCGCAAGCGCAATGTGTTCGAAGTGATAGATTTTCTAGTCAGCACATAACAGCCCTTTCTTTGAATATGTATATGAAGACTTTGTAAGTTTGTAGTTGACATCTATTACTTGTGTCATTGTGTGCCACCAAGTTTGATTTCACAGGTGGCCCAATTGTACAAATGTACATTTTAAGTTCTTCTATTGTATCAGTCTCATATATATGCCCATTTACCTGAAATAAATGTAGTGGTAAGTAGTGCTTTGGACCTTATGTTGGAATACTTGAGTCCATTGTAGCACAAATTTTTTTTCCTTTTCATATTCAGTGCTTTTTTTTTTGTAACACTCCTAATACATGTTCTAGTAAATATAATATGCATTATTTTTCTATCTCTAGATTTTCTTAGATAATATCCCTAGCAAGTTTTTTTTTTTGTGTATACGTTTCGGAAGGAATAAGCCATGGCATGGTAATTGAAAGCACAACTTGTTTCTTTCTGTCATCTAAGCTTTATCTGTCTTCTGTGTTTTGCTCATTCTTAGGCTCAAGACATGAAGGAGCAGGCCCGTCTACGCGAAGAAATGAACTACCAATACAGGTTGGGCAATTTTCAGGTAGGTTTGCTCTTCCTAAACTTTGCAAGCCTTGCAATTAGACGTGGATGGTTCAACACACACTCCTCTGACCTAAATCAAACATTTCCTGATATCAGGCAGCAGCTGCAATCCAGAAAAGATTGGATCCTGATGCTCCTTTGCAGTAGTCGCCTTGTGGATAGTCCAATTCCCTGCAGTTGTTCCTTGGCTTTCCTGAACACTTACCTTAGCTTGTTGAACTGCTGTCAGCTACTACAAAGCTTTTTTACATAGTGTATTATTTTATTGTATCGGCAGAATTTTGAATTCTATTACTCAGACTCTCAGCCCTGCCTGATTTTCATTAGGTTGTTTGTTTCCCATTTTCCAACTACCGTCGTCATTCATCACATGCAGTGTGCTCTCTTCTGTTGTGTTATTGTTCTATTTTTTTGGACCTTCCCGACCGGTCGTCTCCAGCTTTGTCGTTGTGTACGGCCCACATACAGAAACGGTACCAGGGCTAGCATGATGAATCAGGATCCATCTGGACTGACATGTTTTTTTTCCTTAACCATGAGGCAATCGAATCGTTCTCTAAACTTCTTGCGTTCGAAACGTTCAATTATCCTTCCTTTGTCCCTAATTTCAATATCATGTTCTGAACTTTGGACACCTAAGCACCAAATCAATACGTGTTTTTGTGTTCCCTTCCGGTGGGTGCTAGTGCTATCTCGTGAGCGGCGACAGATCAGTGTTCAGATTTTTTTAATAAGTATTTTTTAAAAAAAATAAAAAGTAATTATTAGTGCCGATTGTTTCAGAATTGCTGGTTAGGAAGCAGGCTTACGACTAACAATCAGCGGTAATCGGTCATACAGATGAACATCCTGATTTCAGAGCCTTGATAAGGTCAGGAAGCAGGAATCAAGGTAGGTTCAACGATGACAAGATGATGCGGACCCTATGTTGCTTTTTCGAAGAAGTAGATACTCTGCAGATTTTTTCGGTGTGCGATGAACATCCAGACTCGAGAGTTCGTTGGCACACTTGGCAGCCAAAGATCTATCTGCTATATATAACAACTGAATTCGCCACTGGAAGAAAAGCATGAAGAGGATCACAACGAACGTACAGAGGTAAAATACTATGCGTGCACATACAGACGACCTTCACACATCATGTATTCAAGTTGCTCAAATAAATAGATCCAACAAAAACCAGAAAGCGCAATCTACCACAACTCAGAAAACCACGCAGCAATCCCCATCCCACCACGGCCACGAAAGTCCTCGCGGACGCCTAGGCCTAGCGCTTGATGCTGCTCCTGACCTTGCTCCACGCCTTCTTGCAGGACTCGCCGGCCGCCTTGATGCCCTTCATCGCCGCGGTCTTGAGGTGCTTCAGCTCCTTGGTCCGCTCCTTCACCTGCTGATCGAACCCGCCCATCTCCTCGACTCCTTCCTTGCCCTCCGCTCCGTTCGCGCTCTCGTGGAGAAAGATGGGTGAGAAGGAAAAAAAATGGAAGGCGGCGGCGCTGCTGACTTGTCGCGCGTTTGGATCGCACAGGGAAGGAGATGGCGACGAGGAGGAGAGGAGACTATATAAAAGGTAGCGCGGTGCGGTGTGCGCCTGTGCGGGTGTGGTCGTGAACTCGGGGCTGATCTGTAAAGCTCTGGAAATGAGTTGTGCGGCCGCGTCGGCGTTAGAGGGAACGGTCAAGGGCGGCGGTTG